ACTGTAAAAAATAATTTACCCCATCGTTGATTGTGACATCATCGTCATGCGAACACGGGCCCTACAAGTAAGCAATGAAACACCACGTTAACTGGATGGAGAGCTATTGTGAATAACGTCATATATGGAAAAGCTGTTATTGTGTTTCGTTTGAATTCCTCAAATCACAGATCATACCTCTCTCTTTACTCCGTCTTCCACACGCCATGTTTCCAATTTCCCTGCATTGTTTCTTTCTTTAAACTCCATGCATTTTTTCCAAACACGTTTTGGTAAAGAGGAACGAATCCAAAACCAAACTGTGATATTGTCCTCTTTCTTCAAAACCGTCCCGCCATTGATTGCTTGACATCTTGGAGCGCAGTAATCCTTCTTACTATCAGGACCAAAACAAGCACAACACTAAAATGGAAAATATTTCCGTTTTGCAACACTGTATATTGTTAGAGCCCTATCGTATATACCTCTCCGTGATCACAGCCAATAAATGATGTTTGATTGTCCTGAATTCCGGAACGTTCAGACACAACACTGTAGCTATATCATGTAAGAAAAGTGAAGAAGTTCTATAGACTTATAGCGTTGCGTCATAGAGCCTAACTTTGGGAAGGCTGAAAAAACCGCTGAATAAATCAAACAAGACGAACATAATTATTTATAATCACCTGTACGAGCCTGATGTATCGACATGATAATTAGAAATATAGGCAAAACCCTTTTGACAAGGTTGCTTAAAACATCGGTTCATCTTATTCTGTTGGACAAAATGAGGTTAGTTTCTTTTCTTGTCGAAAGACCTGCATTGGTTGCATTTTTGGCATTGTTGAATAACAGTAATTTTACATACCCATCCTAGTCCAGGCGCAATTGAAGCTCCAAATCGCGAACATTTGAAGTTTTTGGTTGGTATCTTTCCAGTCATGAGGTCTTTAACGAAGGCAACTTTACCAATTCCTGGGTATCGATGACTGCATCCTCCTTTGTTGGACATTAGCAATTTCGAGAGCTTGCGGGGGGATTTGAAACGATAATACCTTGAAAATATAGGGAGAAACCTTGGTCACTTTGAAACATGAACCGTTGTAGGCTATTTAGAACAGCATCAGGGTGGCTCAACGAAAAACGAGACGACAAGAACAGCATTTGAAATAACAACGATTTACTTACCAGTGTGCTCGTGTATCGCGAAAATCTTCTGACATGGAAATTTGAACTCGGAAATCCAAGATTTCTTGCTCACCAAATGCACTTGACCACCTTGGCTTACCGTGGGGGTGGATGAAAGAAGCGTTGGAAGGAATAGCCCAGGTTTCTGGTGTGTCTTTGACGCCAATCAACAAGAATCCTCCACCGTCTGTTTCAACATCGCACCATGACTAAAATCAATCAGTTGTTTACTAGTTTTCTAACTTTTTCGTGATTGATATCAATGTGAATGTCTAAATAAACAAAAATAAAGTAGCCACTTTATTAACCCTACCTTTTGCGGACCATTTCGTGTCTGAATCCAGTAAACTCCACTTTTCGCTTTTGGAACATTGTCCACAATACCAGAACAATCTTTCGCGGATCAAAATAGTTGCCATAGGAGTGACCTGAACAATAATAGCGTGGTGATCCAGTTAACTCTGTTGTTTTCCATTTGAGCATATGTTATAAAATATATAAATACCATTCATCGTTTCCCATTGATATTTTCCATCGTGTTGAACACAAGCCAGGATTTTATCATCATCATTGTAATCTTTCACAACCACAAACTTTCCTCGTTTTTCTGCGGTGCAAAGACCAGGATCGTATGGGTTGACCTGTTGTGTTAATAGTTATTACTTAATATTCTTGTAATTTTGCATGGTGACATCAAATAAGCAAATTAGCTTGTAGGTACACCACAAATTAATTCATTTTGCACTGATGAAGGCCCAGGTTAACGGACCGAAAGCTTTGCAGTGGATTAAATACTTACGTGGTGTACCTACAAGCTAATTTACTTACTTAGTTAATACTTTAACACAATTCCTGTTTTACTTAAGTCGAGAGTTACAAAATAACCTTTACCATAATGAGCATGTCAAGGTGGCTGATGTAATAGAATATTTCTATGTATTTTACTGTCAACAATGACCGATTTCAATACAGAAATAAAGACAAATTTACATTCGGACTATTTCTTATCAGTGAAAATGACTTGTTCACGATCATATCAACTAAATGGAAACCAGACTTATGTCTAACCAGGCTTTGGGGTTTCCATGCGCCCGCATTCTTTGTATATTCGTTCCTGCTCCGCAGTGTATAAGCCTGCATGCTATGTTCTATGCCGCGAAAATTCCTAAGATTTGCATATTCAAATTAGCTTGAAAATTGAAATTAAGCTTGTTATGATATTCTGGCGAACAAAGACGAATTACAAAAATAGAAAGATTATAAGAAAGACTGTCTTCAAATTCGTTTTCGCAGTTTGGATGTGTCTACTGTCCATAGAAGAGGATTGTATGCGGCCTAATTTTGTATTCCTGCATTTTGGAAAGTCGCTAATAGTTAGTACATTGCCTTAAATTTTTAATGCAAGATGTCTCCGTGTCTGTAGAGATTACACTAATATAACCCAGTGTCTTCAAAAGGAAAGGTAAATCAAATTAGAACTTTATTTTCGAACTGGAATACACGTATTTAATTATCACTAGTAAAGTACCATGCAAAAAGGCGAGCTAGTTTGCCCTTTTTATTTCTATCAGTTTATATTGTTCTAGCTTTGTGTTCATTGATGCATCCGCAATCATATAGGAAAGTTTCGCAGGCTCATTGCTCAAAATATTTGCAATGAAGCGATGACCCTATGAAAAATCATCTCTTGTTGATACCGTGTCGTATATTTTGACCCTACCGGAAAAAAACTTTTTCATACTTCCAGGTCACTCTATCAGCTCTAAAACGAATAATTAATTAGATGTATGAACTTAACTAAATATAAGTTGTTTCAGGCATAGTCGATGCACTTCTACAATTCTACTTATATATAAATGACCCGAAGTTACGCGGTATCACTTTGACTTAGAGGTTTGACGAAAGCATGCAAGTCTGAAAAACAAAGGTGCAACGCTTTGCTTCGCTAAAATAATAATCCCACATGCAAACAATCTAGCATATAGTTATATAAGCGTCCAAACCCTTCAATTGCAAGAATGAGAAGTACCAAGGAAACTTTACATAAGATTACGAGCACATAAAATCGACTAAGCACAAGCCATAACAGTATTTGTCCATGCATGTTTGAACGTTTCAGCCATGAAAATCTGTTTGACTAATGATCAGGGAATAAATATAATAAATTGATTCGATACAATGATTAACGTATTTTATACGCGTGCACAAATTAGTGAAGTAATAAACTTATGTGTACTTACAGCACAAAGGCTTGACACAAAAGTTGTGGCAAGCACAGCTGACAGCAACCTCATTTTTATTTCAACTTCTTTAATCGAAAAAAGTTAGTCTTCACTCTTGCTAAAACTCACCGCAAATAAGAAAAATGTACTCAACGATCAATTATATCCATGCATTACAATAGATGTTTGACGAATTTGTTTTGCTGAAGCAAGATTATTCGTGTTAGGTAAACAATAGTGCACTTATCACGTCAAAACGCATTTGCCAGATATGGTATATTTTGTTACTTTTTTAATAGTGCAATGGACATTTGCATCGTTTTTATTCAATGAAGCGCTTTTGTAAATAAAATACAAGGAATTAAAGTGAATTAAAGTGAAGGTGACTTTTTAGCTTAAGCAGACAACACAATATGATACGTCTTTCAAGTTGGCAGAGCATCCGTTTCCTGGTGGGAATTAATGTAGCAAGGAAGATAATAAGCATGTTGCAACCCACCAAATTGAATTAATAGATTTTTAATTACAATAGGACCGCACAAAAGAGATTATGTACTGTGTCTTCAGAAAGAATGTTCACATGATTTTACTGCCTCAAAACTTTATTCTTATACACTAAAGTGTGAATAAAATCCCAACTCATGGAATGGAGTTTTTCATGCTCTTCACGGGTTATATGTGACATATATCAGCGATTTATCAAAGAAAGCAGGATTCATCGTTTAGTAAATATTTAAAATATTTAAATGACCACCTCCAGAGTGCGTAGATTGTCTAATCTAAAGTTAAAAACAGCCCAGGAAATGACTTACTTGCAAGGTATTCAAAAAATTATTGCTTAATTTTCGCATCGTATACAGTCATGCTTCACCTTGTCTTCTTCCTTGCCGGCGCCCCTGAGCGTGGTAAATCTCTCCCCAATGACGCTGTAAAGATGATCGATGGGGATAAACTGTTTTCATCGTCGGTGATCAAAGCAATTCTGGCAATCTTTACATTTACCAACCATCACTGACGAGTAGGCATGGTTAAGAATCATATAAGAGGAAGAATTAAGGGTCTGTAAAATTTCATTTTTGCAAACAAACATACATGCTATACCCGACGAATTTTTTTTCAAACCAATAATCATATCCAACTATACCAGAAAAACACAACACTACACTAATCATAATATGAATACTCGTTCCTTATACTATAACTATAAGCTTGTAAGTAAAAATCAAATGGAAAAAGTTTTGCTTAACGGACGAGAATGTATCCCATTGCTCTGGCGTTCTTATCTCCGTTGTCTGCTCCACATTTACCAACGTTACCAGCGGTGTTAAGAGGAGCTTGTTTTAAACCACAATATGGAAAATTACCATCACCTCCAAAGCCGACGAAAGAGTCTGGGGAACTACAGCGATTTTGCTGATTTGCGGCTAAGCCCAACCGAACTCTTACATATCTTGTGCCAAAATACATATTAAATCCTTCTTTATTGCAATGGTGCTGTAAAGATGATCCATGGATGAGCTGTTTCCATTGAGAGCGGCCAACGTGAGTCTGACGATACCTGCCGTCAGCGATCAGATCATACAAGGACGATGCTGGATACGAGAAAGAGAAGGCTCTGAGTTGACCACCATATTTCATCGCGACACAAATCTCATTGAATGAAGTTTTCCAATATGTTGATCCTTTGAATTCTCGGTTGTCAAAACCTCCGTTTCTTCCATCGTCATCGTCGTTGTACGTGGTGTTGTCTGTCCAATAACTGGAACTGTATCTGAAAGTACTCTAAAATAAATTCGTTAAAATTATCCTTCACAACTCCACTAAACTTATACGAATAACGAGAACTGCAACTAAAATGCCCTAAAAGAAGATACGTTAACCTTAAGTAGACTGCATCATCATATAGTCATCTATAATAGTTTTCCACGGTAATTCTCACCTGGTTTCCATCAATTTTCATCACCATCGTCCACCCACCACCAGAACAATTTGAGACTGACGACATCTGACAGTAAACTTTCATTACTTGATTTTGTCCAACGCTGATTTGATAAACACCACTACCAGGGTTGCTAGCAGATATAACAAAACATACTTTAACGCTGAGATTTTCGTTTTTCGGGATCCACTTTGCATAAATTTTCTTCATTAACAAGCATGAACCTGATTTGAATGAACTAAAGGAAGTTATACTATACCTTTGATTCCTTATTTGCTCGCAGGATGCATAAGTCAGCACTTCCACATATTTAAAATGCAAAAAAGTGGCGCTGTTTATGAACACTACTGCGCTATTTTGAAGACTATTTTATGGGGGGTGGAGATATTTGTCAAATTGAACAGATATTACGTATATTTATATAGTTTTGCGACAAAATTTTGTATTGCAATAATACTCAAGCACTGCTGTGTGTAGAACACACTTTTTAGAACTGCACATTGCTGTTGCATGATCACAATTTCTTACTGCCTTGATTAAATTATCAAGTACAAGTGCCCGCATGTCGTACCTGCTTCTTGCGGTTTTGTTGCCTGTGGCTTTGGACTGGATGGAACACGATTTGTTGGCTTCTAGAAATACATAAACATATCTCATATTTTCACAGTACAGAGAGAATAAGCGAGGTCAATAATCGGTTTATTATATGGCTGAACTGCATGAGACATCCGGGATACTGGTCCAGATACGGAATATACGGAACGCGGTCCGTGTTTTACGCTTGTCAACCAATCAGAATACAGGATTTTGAAAGCTATATAATAAATCATTATCACATGGTTGATGGTTCATCTACACTTCATCAAATTTCACGTCACTCATTTTTGAGCAATGATTATTTACTTAATTAAGGATTGTTTTTTTATATGCACACACATGCAGTTTAAACAGAATATGAACTTACTTCATCTGATTTTACAAGTTTATAGTGGTCAAAGCTTGCATTTTTTATTAAATTTCTTTTTGGTTCCTCTGAGTAGGACGTTTTGAGTAATTCACAATTTGGTTCTTCAGGAGACTTTGTGTTTTTTTGAAGTTTACAGATCTGCACGAGTCTCCATCCTTGTAACATTCAGTGATGCAATCTTTTTCAGAATCTACGTGAATATGCCTGATTCTTGATGCATTACAGTCGAGGCGATGATCTTTGAAATAGAAAAAATTACGTAGCAAATAGTTGTGGCTCCAACACTCATAAATTATTTCATCGAAGTTTACAGACAAAGACCTGTCATTTGAAACGGAGGGGGCTTGTAGGAGAATCTCGAAATATTTAAAACCTTTTGGGTCCCCCAGAGACCCACTTATCACATAATGCAATTTTCAAAACCCCCAGTTTAATTGAAAAAAATTTAACTCCTCCCCCCCTTCACCTTTGACCGCTCTCTTATGCATAATAATTATATAAACCAGTATTACAGGTTTGGCAACACATTTTAATTATGCACATTATATGCGGTAGTATACGCATTATATAAGACTAAAGTACCCGTGAATTTTGGCCTACAGGAACTCGATTTTATATTTTTTGGCGCACTGGAAGTGTAACGTGCTTCACTTCCTTATTTTTTTAACACCTTTCAGTCCTGACTTCTATATACAATCTATATTCTAAAGCGTTTGCTTCCATGCAGTGCTCATGTAGTATATAGTTACGTCAGTTTAACAGCGCAACAACAATTACTATTAGTCTATTAACGTTATTAATATACTGAATATAGTTAGATGTAGATACGTTCCAATATAACCAGGGAGCAGCGTGGCAGCATTTTTATTAAACAACTTCGCATCAAATGTGGCATAACAACTGCCTAAAATAAACAGAAAAGCTTTTCGACGTTTCGACCCAAGGGCGTTCGTTTGGAGAGTAATATGATATATAGCCATACGAACTTTCTTGACGAATTCCCTTCACGACGAGAGAAGTGTTTTTGTCTAATTTTGTCAGTCTTTATGCCACATTTGATGCGATACTGACATACTGCATGTATAGAGTTAGTTAAATTCGTCGCTTGTACAAAACACACCTTTCTTTGAAAGATCGAAACAAACGCCGATCTGTTCTCCAAAAGTTTCAGCATTCAAAATTGCCACAATCCATAAACCTAAAAGAATATGAACTGAACGCGGCATCCAGCCTTTGCAAGATGAAAGGAAAACTGCTTCAGCCATCTTTTTGAACAGGTGCAATGTGATGTGCCACTTATACTTTTAGCAAAACAATGGATACGTTTTCAATGCCTGCCGGGATGTATACAGAACAGCAGTTATTTTCCAGCAGTAATGCTGATATATTGTGACATGCACGATTATAATGCAATAAAGTTCTAAAGACGAGCGTCGGACTGACGAATGCCGCATTCGAATAAATAAATTTGCTGAATTTAGGGAGCGTCGTTTTTGTTTTTATAGGTGCATTTTCTCTAAGTATTTGTTGACTTTAGCTACTTTTCTTTATACACAATTTAAATTAATGCCATGTCGCAATGTTGATGAAAAGCGATATAAAAAGTAGCAACCCACTGCAAGTATTTATGGGAAATGCTTCCGCCGATCGCTTGAACGACAAATGTTATTTATCGGCAACAAAAAAGACATGCAGACCTAATTGGTACTGACATAGGTTCAACGTAGTGGCTCCTAAAGTGTTGCGGTCCATCGGTTTATCTCTAATTAGAACGTTTTCAGTGCCCTTTGATAAGTGATATTAGAAAATGTTTATTAGAGTTAGTATAATTAGGATATGCGCTTCAATTTAAACATATATTTAGAATTGATTACAGACCCAAAGTTAACGAACGAGTCAGGCCAAGTTAGTTGGTCAAAGTCCAAATATCATCAAACACCTGCATGCATGAGAAGCATGCAACGCAGCCTGTTGACCAATCAAAAGACAAAATAATTTTCATCTTTATTTATTATGTTTACATTAGGGTCTTCGGAGGTCTATTACTTCTGCCTTCGTTTTTAATAATTAAAATTGTATATACTGTGTATATCTTCAGATCAGTGATGATGAAACTTGGCACGTCAGAGCAGGGAAGGGGCTTATTTCACATGCCGTAAATTTTTACATTGTGCTAGTTTGCTCACGAAGGCCGGTTAAGAATACGGCACTAAATCCAATAACAGTAGAAAACCTTTTATGTATTAAATAGCTGTACAAGGAATTATATTTGCAATATGAGAGGCCTAAGGGTTGATTGTATGCATAACAATATAGTGGGAATATTAACCGAACTTTCAGATCGCTATATTACAATCATACTTGGAATAAGAGTAGTCTTAGAATAAGAGAGTGTTACTGTCATGTAAGAGAAATCAGCATTGCAATATTACTATTGTATTTAAAAGATACATACAAGATGAAATTCTATATTTGTGCAGGTGATCACGGTGGAGCTTTATGAAAAGTGCCTACAATATGCTACAGGCAATATAGGTGTTGGTAAAATATAATAACTACAGTAAGGCAAAGTATGACAACCAGAATGCTGGCAATATAACAAGTGTACATATAATTTCAGTCGCATATTCTAGCTACAACGTAAAATTTACGTGCAAGGCGGCAAAGATGCAAAGGTAATATTCCAAATTTAATACATTTCACCCTGATGTTATTTATACTAACTTGAGGTGGTGGCAAAGAAGTTTTTTTAACGGACCAGTACGTATCCCATTGCCCTGAGGTTCTTGACTCCGTTGTCTGGTGAACACATGGCAACATTGCCAGCGGCGTTAAAAGAATGTGCTCTGGAAGTGCAGTGCTGTGCATAACGTCCTTTACCACCCAGGCCGATGAAAGAGTCAGGAGTGTGGCAATCACTTTCCTGATTTGCAATGATGCCTAATCGAACTGTCAAATATACAGAGTTCCCAAAGTTAACGTTGAACCCTTGTTTGTTGCAATTACGCTGTAAAGATGATCCATGGATGAGCTGTTTCCATTTTGAGCGGCCAACGTGAGTTTGTCGATAATTACCGTCAGCGAACAGATCATACAAGGACGATGCTGGATACGAGAAAGAAAGGGCTCTGAGTTGACCACCATATTTCATCGCGACACAAATCTCATTGAATGACGTTTTCCAATATGCTGATCCTTTATATTGTCTGTTGTCAAAACCTCCCTTTCTTCCATAGTCATCGTCATTGTATGTGGTCTTGGACGACCAATAACCGGAGCTGTAGTCGAAAGTACTCTAAAATAGATCCGAAATATAGGTGAAACTGTCCTACACTCCGTATTCAAACCTATACATATGACATCAAATAGTCTCTTCCACGGTAATTCTCACCTGGCTCCCATCAATTTTCATCACCATCGTCCATCCTCCACCAGAACAACCTGAGACTGACGACATCCGACAGTAGACGTTCATCACATGATTTCGTCCAACGCTCATTTGGTAAACACCACTAGCAAGGTTGCTAGCAGATGTAACAAAATATATTTTTAACGCTGAGATATTCGCTTTTTAAAATTAATATTTCACAAACAATTTCCCAGGAACCTGATGTGCATGAACTTGGAACTGAAAGAAGACTTTATATATTTAGTTACAATACCTTTGACTCATCCATATTTGTTTGCAGGATGAATGAGTCAGCACTTTTACATCTTAAAGGAACAAAAAATACATCATTAGATCATGGTCCAAAAATAGCCTTTTAAACCCTGAATATCCCGAATTCGTAACAATAAAGAAGATTACCTTTAGTTACTCCTGCAAACTTATTATTGGTCACGCGTTTGAAACTTTCTACTGCCCGTTGAAAACTTTCAAGTCTAGTAGTTAGTCTGCCGATGACACTTTCAATCTATTTACGAGGAAAAAAAATGAATATTTAGTTGACACTCATTTGCCACGACATTCACAAAGAACAGCCTGGGATTGTTGCATCCATCTTGTTGTAAATTTATGCAGAACGATAACACATAAATCTCATATCATATTAATCAAATCTGAGTTGATACCATTTCCTGTGGGCATGTTTAACTTTCCATTTTTATTTATCCACAACAAATCTTACATCCTGCTGAGTGGCCAAAGCTTTCCATTGAGATCTTTCTTTGAAATACATTTCCCTGTCATCAGATCGATAGGAGAGAAGTCCTTCTATCTTTGGGAGTTTGTTCATTGATTGAGCATCAGGAACCACTGCAACCTGCATAAAATTTTGGAGAACTGCGTGAACTACACTAAACCAACACTAGGCAAAAAAGACTCAAGTCATATTCATGCTGTAACCATCAATTTACCCCATCATTGATTGTGACATCTTCACCATAGGAACAAGGACCCTACGCAAATAGTAAAGTGATATTATAAACAATACAAAGAAAAAGAATGTTTATCAACCTTCTGGTCTTACAAACTTGTGATTGTAAAAATGCAATTTGATTTAGTCAAACCAATCTCTCGTACCTTGTATATCCCGTACCTCGGAAAAATGTTTTATAATCTTATACCTTTTTTCGTAATCCATCTTCCACACGCCATGTTTCCAATTTCCCTGCATTGTTTCTTTCTTTAAACTCCATGCATTTTTTCCAAACACGTTTTGGTAAAGATGAACGAATCCAAAACCAAACTGTGATATTGTCCTCTTTCTTCAAAACCGTCCCGCCATTGATTGCTTGACATCTTGGAGCACAGTAATCCTTCTTACTGTCAGCACCAAAACAAGCACAACACTGAAATGGAAAATATTTCAATTTTGCAACATTGTAAATCTTCTTCTTGTTAGAGACTTTTATCGAATATACCTCTCCGTGATCACAGCCAATGAATGATGTTTGATTGTCCTGAATACCGGAACGTTCAGACAAAACACCGTAGCTATATCATGTAAGAAAGAATGAAGAGGCTCTTTATATTAGCATTGTACAGTAGTTCCTTATCATAATTACAACATAATTACAGATCATAATTACAACATAGCCCTTTATCAAAAAGGCGCATTGTGAATGTTATGTATGTGTTGCTATTTCATAGCACAGGCTGCCCACGCCTGCCTCTCTAAGCATAGGGCAGTGGGGCAGCTACCATTTCCCCGCCGTGGCTTTGGCACCCTTACCTGACTTTCTTAATACCCTCCTAACCTGTTTACAATGCCCATGACAAAGCAAATAATGCAAGACGACGTAATAATATTTATAATCACCTGTACGAGCCTGATGTATCAATATGATAATTCAAAATATATGCAAAACCATCCGTGCAATCTTGTTTAAAACATGGTTCATTTTACTCTGTTGAAATAAAATGAGGTTAGTTTCGTTTTGGAACTCCACGAGTTCCACTTTTGGGCGACGTTTCGAGTGGTCATGAAATATTTGACAACTTATGAGGGTTTAGCTCGATCAGGATTTCAACAATTTTAATACCCATCCTAGTCCAGGTGACATTGCACCTCCGAATCGCGAACATTTAAAATTTCTTGTCGCAATCTCTCCAGTCATGAGATCTTTAACGAAGGCGACATCACCAATGCCTGGGTATTGATGACTGCATCCTCCTTTGTTGGACATGAGCAACTCCGATAGAACACGAGGGGATTTGAAACGATAATACCTTGGAAATACAAAGAATACAGTAGCGTGAGCCGTGTGAAAAAAAGCTTTATCCGCTGGGGAAAACGAGACAAAGAACAGCATTTTTAACAACACCAATTTACGTACCAGTGTGCTCGTGTATCGCGAAAATCTTTAGAGGTGGAAATCTGAACTCGGAAATCCAAGATTTCTTGCTCACCAAATGCACTTGACCACATTGGCTTACCGTGGGGGTGGATGAAAGAAGCGTTGGAAGGAATAGCCCAGGTTTCTGGTGTGTCTTTGACGCCAATCAACGAGAACCCACCTCTGTCCGTTTCAACATCGCACCATGACTAAAATCAATAAAGTAGTTTTGTAATTTGTAATTTTCTAACCTCTTTCTTGGAAAAAGCAGTGTGAATGTCTTTAAAAGAAAAAAAACCTTACCTTTTGTGGACCATTTTGTGTCTGGATCCAGTAAGGTCCGCTTTTGCTTTTGGAACATTGTCCACAACACCAGAACAATCTTTCGCTGGATCAAAATAGTTGCCATAGGAATGACCTGAACAATAACAGCGTGGTGATACAGCACAATTCACATCGATAAAAGGAAAACATTATTCAGCAAAAGCTTCAACGATAATACAAGTTCTGGTATGAAGACTTGAACTTTTTCCCATCATAATATCAGAATAAATACCATTGATCATGTCCCACTGATATTTTCCATCGTGTTGAACACAAGCCACAATTTTATCATCATCATTGTTATCTTTCACAACCACAAACTTTCCTCGCTTATCTGCGGTGCAAATTCCAGGATCGTATGGGTTGACCTGTTGTTGCTACAATAAGATGGAAGTACATTAATAAAGCACCCGTGATTCACAGTTGATGAACAGTGACTGAACTATGTTGTTACAATTATTATAAGTTGTAGCATTTTCGAAAGGCATGTTCGTGGGCTACCTTGGGGTATTAAGATCTTTTATTGTCGTCGTTTCCTATAACTATACTTTAAGACGAGAGAGGGGAAAGGTCACAATTGTAGTGTTGAAAGACTTTTTCAGTGTTGAAAGAATCTTTTTGTAATTGTAACTAATTACACTGCCATGCAACTATGCTAGCACTTCAGTCGTCTGTTCTTCTAAAGACCCCTTTTAAACCACTACCTGCCAATCACAGATGATGATTGAAAACAGGCAAATGAAAGCATTATCAAGATGTTACATCATTTGCGCGCAACTCTGCTTGATCATGATTGCGAATAGATCCTAGCTAAGTTATGGCAACTAAAGTTTAGCGCTCTCTATCGTATCGACTCAAATTTTAGATATTTTCTGTTTGGATTCTAGCCTAGTTTTATGAAGCGTCGCGTGATTATCCCTCCACTAGGTTGACCTACAAACTTGATAGACGATAAAAAAAAAGTTTTGCGAAATATAAAACAGTATATACTCCAATAACGCTGAACATAATCAGCACAACCCAGTGGAACCTAGGAACTGCGATATTTCAAACGCAGAATGATTGTTTTTAGGCCTTTCAGTTTCAACAAATGACGCAAAATACGACTGACTCACTTCCGATATCGTCTTCGAATGATTATAAAATACCTTGCTATACTTTAGTACTCTAAATTTAGCGCTCTCTATCGTATCGACTCAAATTTTAGATATTTCTGTTTGGATTCTTAGCCCAGTTTTATGAAGCGTCGCGTGATCATCCCCCTCCTATATTATATTTATTATATTTATTATATTTATTAGGTTGACCTATAAACATGATAGACAATAAAAAAATAGAAAATACGTTACTATAGTCTTACTTCCGATATCGTCTTAGAATGATTATAAAATACTTTGTTTATACTTTAGTATACTTACATTCACAGCATGAAGCGTTGTAAAGAGGGTTAACACTAAAACTGCCGCCAACAAACTCATTTCAAGCTGCTTCAGAATGTGGCTTTTTACCCTTGCTAAATATTTCCTCAAATGACGGGACTGTAAAATCAGGATATCGAATTTCTATTGTCGAGGTGTAAGTTGATATAAACACTTGATGATGGATCTATGCAGAAATTTCATTGACGTACGCAAGTCCCGCTGAAATTGTATGCAGTCAATTTAAGGAAAAGGTTTGCGCGTCAACAGGATATATCTTTCATACATATGGTATGTGAATGACAAAGTTAATTGAGAGGCATGAGAGCTCTTGATTGAGCCAAAAAACGAGTTCAAGATATTTTCTGGTTTTGCCGCAGATATTACTGTCTTCTTTGGCGAATTCAAAGCGTTATGCAATTCAAAACACTATCGTTTTTTCAACTCTAGTTTCACTCTTATCGTACAATCCTCCTACAGCAAACTTTGTGTCGTCTTTCACTGTCAGTTATATAGTCGCTAGTTTTATTTTACCTCTACAAGATGTAGTCGTTCATCAACAGACGAATATTGGCGTAAATCATAGAAGCTTCAATTCTGGGAATTTGACATTGCTATAGTATGATCCAAAGAAGCGTGAAGTCTGATGCAATTTTCCTGCGTGGTCAATCATGGTAGTTATTAAAAAGAAATACCCCAGATATTAATTGCGACCCAAAAATGTCTATTTATAGATCAAGATAATATTTCCGTTTCATCTTCATGCATGTTACAAGAAATTCCGCATGTGCCGCTGTCCATCTAAATCAAAGATTCATGAAAAGTGCTTGCAATATACTAGAACTAGTGCAAAGTTACAACCTTTTAAATCTATATACTAGTGATAATAAGCAAAGTTACAGCCTTTTAAATCTATATACTAGTGATAATAAGGAAAGTTACAACCTTTTAAATCTATATACTAGTGATAATAAGGAAAGTTACAACCTTTTAAATCTATATACTAGTGATAATAAGCAAAGTTACAGCCTTTTAAATCTATATACTAGTGATAATAAGCAAAGTTACAACCTTTTAAATCTATATACTAGTGATAATAAGGCAAAGTTACAACCTTTTAAATCTATATACTAGTGATAATAAGCAAAGTTACAACCTTTCAAATCTATATACTAGTGATAATAAGAACATCAGTTAATTGGCTTTGACAAAAGGAAAGTAATCAAATCCAAGATGTGTTTGTTCAGTTAACGGACCAGTATGTATCCCATTGCTTTAATATTCTTTTCTCCGTTGTCTGATGAACACGTACCAACATTGCCGGCGGCGTTAAGAGAAGGTCCAGGGAGGCAATACCTAAACTGCTCATCAGCACCCAGGCCTAGGAAAGAGTCGGGAGAGTTGCACTCATTTTGCTCGTTTCCAAGGATGCCAAACCGAAGTATTCCATCATAATTGGAAGGGTTCACGTTAAATCCTTCTTTATTGCAATTATGCTGTAAAGATGATCCTTGGATGAGCTGTTTCCATTGAGAGCGACCGACGTGAGTTTGACGATACCTGCCGTCAGCGATCAGAGAATACAAGGACGAGGCTGGGTACGAGAAAGAGATGGCTCTTAGTTGACTACCATGTTTCATCGCGACACAAATTTCATTGAATGACGTTTTCCAATATGCTGATCCTTTGAACTCTCGCTTGTCAAAACCTCCGTTTCTTCCATCGTCATTGTCATTGTAAGTGGTCTTGGACGACCAATAACCAGAACTGTATCCAAAGGTACTCTATAAAGAGATTGAAAGAAACTCGTATGGATATAATTACTAAGAATAAACCTCAAACTGGGCAACTCTAACCTTGCTTCCATCAATTTTCATCACCATCGTCCACCCACCACCAGAACAACCTGAGACTGACGACATCTGACAGTAGACGCTTTCCACTTGGTTCGAACCAACACTGATTTCGTAAACACCACTTGCGGTATTATTGCTTCAAGACAAAATATAATCTGTTCAACTTTTATCAATAATGCAAAACCTATGTTTATATACATAAAATGAAGTGCAAAATATAGGAATTTACTGATTTAGCAATGGAGTAATTTTTGAAAATGATAAGCGAAGGATAGCTACGATTGTGGTAGACGCTTCCCGGCCGATTTTCCAATTATCATAACACATACCTTTGACTATCAAATATTTCCTTGCATGATTTAAATTCTGCAACACATTTAGAAATG